TTATGTCCCACAACTGCGCCGGGGAATGTCACATGTCCAAACTACCTCGCTGTTTGCACTCACACTGTCGTCGCATTGCAGGAGCACCACGTTCCAATCGATCGGTTAGCTGACGTCCAGCACGCCATAGCTGACGCAAGCTGGAGAGGTCTGTAGACGCTGGCTCGACACACTAGCAACCGAAATCTGATAGAACGTGGCGCTATATCGGCATAAAGAACAACACTTTGTCAAGGCACCCACCTGTCCTTGAAGTCAGCAGACTGGGCCAATGGTCGAGCAATGGCGGCGCTCATCCATCAGGGTGTGCCAGGAGCCTTCGCCATGATAACGATGTACCAGTACGTGGGCGAGGGGATGTCGGACCGCAACATCGCAATCCTCCAAAATGCTTACAAGTGCATTGAAGTCCTCAACCGCCTTGGCCTGGATTGGGTACTGGAGGGGGCTATCACAAGAAGGACAATCTGCGAGCTGGGCGACTTGCGGTGGCTATGTGGACTGCACGGAGTGCCTCGCCAGCCGACGGTGAGCAGATGCAGGCAGTCTCTCCCAGGTCGTACAACTGACGACCACATGGCGTGCAGAAAGACGTAGGTCCCCTTTGCGCAGGAACATGTGCTGGGCTCGAGGCGCCCATGCCGAAACCAAGTCGGCGCTCCAGCACTGATTTGTTACAGAGCGCGAGCGCTCCAGTGCGCTCCAGCACTGCATTCTTACAGAGCGCGAGCCTTCCACTTGGTCGAGCAGAACATAAGGGTGTGGCATGGCCGTCGCCGTCGCCGCCGTGGTCGTCGCCGCCAGCTTTAGACGACGTCGCAAGCGCCACTGCCATCGCCACCGTCACCGTCGCAATTGTCGTTGTCGTCGACGCCGCCGCCGTCGGCGACTTTGTCGGCGCCGTCGACGTCACCGACGTCGCCGATGTCGCCGCCGCCGTCGACGTCGTTGTCGCCGCTGGCGTCGTCGTCGTCGTCGCCACCCTCGCCGTCGCCGCAGTCTGGCCATACATGTTCACTAGCAAGATATCCCACGGTTTTCAGAGCCGCGCCCAGTCACGGCGAGGGGCCATGCAACAGCACACGCGCGTGAGAAAATGTAGACTCCGATGCGGACTGCGAAGTGCTTCCGAGCGGCACTCCCTGCTCCTCGGATCAGGGGTTGCCAGGGGTGGCCCTGGCCCAGGATGTCCCCAGCCTCTCGCGCGACTCTGGAGCCCCTGGGACCGACCCCCCTGGGTCTTGCGAGGGGCGCTCTGGAGGACGTAGGTGCCTCCCGGGGGACATCATGGGGACGCCTTGTGCCTGTGGCCACCCTGGGCAACAGCCGATCGGACCGCTCTGTCCCACCGAGGCATCCCAAATGGGGTCCGAGCAGATAGAGTCGGAAGATCGCGCCGCATTGCCGATGCATCGTAGATGCATCGGCGATGTACCAGCGACGTCGCAGATGCATCGACGCCGTCGGCGTTGAGGACATCTGGCTCCACATCGAGCCATATCGCCGATGCATCGGCGATGCGGCGGAATCCAGCGACCCAATCTACTCCGACCCCATCCCGGAGGCCTAGGACCCCCCCCGACTTAGATGATCTTAGAAACGGCTGGGAAGCATTTTTCCCGCTTTCCAGATTGACATTGTCTTGTCGTTTGGGGTGCCGTTTCTGTGATATCGTTTTCGGATACGGGATCGGCCTGTGGCCCACCTGCTCGTGTTCACTCCGTTGTCATTGCGTTTTCCATACGCTTTCAAGGATCACAATGCCGCCTGGCTGACGTCCACATTCCAGGGTAATGTTTTGAGAACGTTCTGGTCGAATCGAAAGCGAAAAATGGAAAACGGGAGGGGGGAAACACTCCCCCGCGCTTGTTTGAAGAACAGCTGAGATGTCGACTTATTTTTGGCGATCATCGGGTTTATCTGGGGGGAGGGAGGTGGTGCTGGCCGATAACCTGAACTTTTCGCTTTGGGCAGCCCAACGTGTGCCCACGCGTACGAGTCCTGCGTATCCCCTTCCGGCCTGCGCAGCCGACAAAGTCAAATTATCTGGGGGAAACGGGGGGGGCAGGCGGAATCGATGACCCAGGTGATCGCCGTGCCCTAAAAGACACAGTCTCTCTAAGCCCCCGGACCGTCGCTGCTGAACGCGCAGTCCCAGACCCACCGCGCGTGACCCGACCTCGGCAGGCACCGCGCGGCGCTGCGGCGCGGCGGCGAGCCCCCTGCGCTGCAAGTGCTCCCCAGGTGCGGCTGCTGCTCCCCTCGCCTTCGCCCCCCCCCCCCCCCCCCCAGCCCGCGCGCCGCCGGGCTTGGCCACGCGCAAGAGTGGCCCTGGCCCTGGCAGAGGAACGAAAAACGGCGGGGTCGTGCCGACTTCGGAGTTGGTTCCTGACACCGCGGGAACCATTCAACCTTGAAGGCTCGGCCGTTCCCAAGCTTCAGGCTGCCTGGGTCGCAGGCGGCGTTCAACCTCGAAAGCCAGCGGCGGGGTCGCCGCCGGTCGACACGACACGAACCTACTATTGTACACATAATGTCTCGGAGGTCCTCTCGTTGTACCCCGCTCCCTGGAGTACGGAGCGCACAAAGGGCGGCGCCAGAGGCGCCGCCAGGGAGGCCCAGCGCAGATCCAAGAAATCCGCGCGGAGCTCCGAGCAGTTCTGTTTAGAGTTTCTCTTTCTTCGATCTGTCCAAGAATTATCCCAGTGCGACCCTACCTAGGAATTGGAGCCTCTAGGAAAGCAACATCAGTAGGAGCGGTAAACGCCGTCCTCCTCCTCCTTCTCCTCATCGTCGTAGTTGTAGCAGTAGTAGTAGCGGTAGTAGTAGTAGTAGTAGTAGTAGTAGTAGTAGTAGTAGTAGTAGTAGTAGTAGTAGTAGTAGTAGTAGTAGTAGTAGTAGTAGTAGTAGTAGTAGTAGTAGTAGTAGTAGTAGTAGTAGTAGTAGTAGTAGTAGTAGTAGTAGTAGTAGTAGTAGTAGTAGTAGTAGTAGTAGTAGTAGTAGTAGTAGTAGTAGTAGTAGTAGTAGTAGTAGTAGTAGTAGTAGTAGTAGTAGTAGTAGTAGTAGTAGTAGTAGTAGTAGTAGTAGTAGTAGTAGTAGTAGTAGTAGTAGTAGTAGTAGTAGTAGTAGTAGTAGTAGTGGTGGTAGTAGTGGTGGTAGTACTGCGCTATGCTATGATATGATATGCTATGCTCTGCTCTGCTATGCTATGCTATGCTATGCTATGCTATGCTATGCTGCGCATTGCTATACTGGGCTAGGCTAGGCTATGCTATGCTATGCTGCGCTATGCTATGCTGCGCTATGCTATGCTATGCTATGCTATTGTATGCTATGGTTTTGCTTTGCCCTCGCTTTTGCCTTCACTTTTGCCTTTGCGTTTGCTTTTGCTTGGCACCCAGGGAGCGCAACTGGGGGAACCGCGCGTCTGCTTTTACCTTTGCTGTTGCTGTTGCTTGGCTCCCAGGGGACGGGGGAACCGCCCGGGGCTGCCCAGCCCCTTTAAGCTAATAGAGTAAGAACCCTCTAGGCAGAGCCTAGGTCGGGAATAACCTGTAGTTCGCGGCTTTTCCGGGCCGCGGGGGGGAGGGGGGGGCACCTCCAAACGCGTAGGCCGCTACAGGGGTTATGTTGCATCCTCGGGGGGCCTTGTCTGTCCCCTCTCGGCTGCTGCCGCTGTTGCTTCTTCCGACAGCGCGGACTTCAGGCACTTCCTGCACCGCGCCTTTCCCAACGAGTGCCCGCTGCCGACGCCCACGGAGAGTGCCGCGGAGGAGGCCGAGAGGGCGGCCGCCACCCAGGTGGCCCGGCAGCAGGAGGAGTGCACGCGCATCCCCGACTGGCACCCGGCCAGGTGGGGGGAGGAGGCAGCCCTGGTGAGCGTCGGGTGGGCTGATCCGCCTCATCAGAGGAGGGGAAGGTATCGATGCCGCTACGCCAAGTCCGCGTCGAGTCCGCATCGAGCCCGCGTCGGGCACAAGAAAAGACACCAATTTTGGGGACAGACGAGGTCCCCCCGAAGATGCAACGTAACTGGGGGGCCTTGGCGAAGGGTCACTCTCACGCGTAGCCGCGAAGTGGAGGTGCCGGTGGTGGCTGTGGCTGTGCCTCCTCCCGGGGACATTCATGCCGCGTCCTGCGCGTGCGAAAGCCGCGGCTGTGCCGAGGTCATTCCGCGTCGTGCGAAGGGAGCCTCCCCGCGGAGCCCGCCCCTGGCAAGGGCAGTGCCGTCGCCCACGCCGTTTCCTTTGTGCTCCCTGCCTGGCGCAGAAATAGGGGATCTGAGGTCGGGGACTTTTGCTCGACGTGTGGCGGCGGCGGTCCCCGCGACACGCTGTGCCCTGCAGGCTCTGTGCCCTGCAATATGATGGCGTTTCGCGCTGCTTCGTGAAACGGGAGGCTGGGAAAAGCTCGGGACGGTGATGTTTCGGGGTCACGACGTGCTGAGCCCGTCGCGCCGAAACGAGGTGGGCCAGAACTGGCGGCGCGACTGACTAAGCAGAGGTTCCTAAGCGTACCGATGCGGCATGGGTTGGCAGCGGGCCACCAGAGCGGTGGTCAACTGTTCTCTCCTACCTAGACACTGAAAAGCAAAAGCAGCACCGCTCAGAGCCGCCTGCACTCTGCTCCACAGGCGCGCATGCCGAATCTCGCCGCGATGGTCGAAGTGACTCGTCTCAAATTGATGCTCTCGCGGCGCAGCGCCACCACCGCACTGGTAGAGGACAGAAGCGACGAGACAAAATCAGAAACGCGAGCGCCGACAGGAAGCGCACCGAACGACCGACACGCCTAAGGGAAAACCAGGGGCAGATACGAAATGGAGTTGCAGCGTGACAAATAACACATGAATACACGTGCTATTGGGTCAAGTGATCCAGTGTACGCGGCAGCGCCGTTATCAAGCGCACTGCCGCCTTTCCAAGCAGCTGGTAGCCAATCGAAGATATAATGTTTTGAGGTGAAGGCCCAACCCATCATGTGTCATGAGCTGTCATTTTCCTTAGCAGCCAGCAGCCATAAACAAATCTATATGTTAGCCAGGTTCCTGCATTTCAGGAACTAAATAGATAATAGACGTGCCGACTGCCGACGCCCATCGATTGAAGAGCAGTCGAGGACCACCCCAGTGGCTTCCGCGAGGGAGCGATCACACCAGGACACACGAACCTGAGCCCTCATCACCGAATCCACCAACCGATGCCTCCACCGTGCATGCGGAATCAACTCTCACAAAAGCGTGCCATACAGTGTGCACGTCAGCGGCTGCAGCTTATACAACTGTAGCGCAAACATGTCCTCTATTCACCAGAGCTTAGCTGATGTATACTGCGTCGTGTGAACAAACTGAATCGCACTTGCAAGCCTGCATGTTGTTTCTGCTTGAGCGACGTTCACTCGTCTTCTGTGCAACTTGGCCGATGGCTATTTTCAGGGCGCGGGCCAGGGTCAACGCCAGAGCGGCCCGCCGTCCTATGTGTGTTGGGGGCCCTCAGTTGTAGACCATGTACTTCGGGGTGGCCGAGAACTTTGAGTAGCCCTTCACCACTTTGTTGATCGCATCGATCAGGTCCTTCTCCGAGATGCTCTTCCTGCGCGCGCGGATGGCGTACATCCCCGCCTCGGTGCACCTGGGGGCGGGGGGGGGGGGCAAGGAGGAACGGAGAAGAGGGCAGAGACTTAGCAGGGAGGAGCGTGGGGAACGGTCACAGCAATGACGATATGTCCTCCACCTCGTCCCGTACCTGCGCTTTGTCCACCTGTTCCACCTCCTCCTCCAATCCTCATCATCGTCAGCATTACCCCCATCATCATCACCATCATCATCATCATCAGCAGCATCATCTGCATCATCAGCATCATCAGCATCATCAACATCATCATCAGCGGCAGCATCATCACCATCAACATCACTATCATCATTACCATCACCATCATAATCACCACCACCAAACCTACCACCATCACAATCCATCATCATTACCATCATCATCATGATGGTGATGGTGATGGTGATGGTGATGGTGATGGTGATGATGATGACGATGATGATGATGATGATGATGATGATGATGATGATGATGATGATGATGATGATAAGGATGATTATGATCATCATCACAACCATCAGCATCATCATCACCAGCATCATCATGATCAGCATCATTATGTTCACCATCATCATCGTCATCACCATCATACTCATCCTCATCCTCATCCTCATCCTCGTCCTCATCCTCATCTGTCTTCATACGTAGCACCCCGCAGTTGCGGATAAGAGTGAGGGGGCGGCGGGGACGTCTGCAGTCTGCGAGGCTCTGAAGAAGCCCGCTGCAAGCGTAACATTTTCAAGCTATACAACGAGCCCGTCGCAGGCGCCGATTTTTTGTTAAAACAATGTCGGTGGTGGGTCGCGGGTTGGGTCGTAAGTGGGTCGCGGGTGGGTCGACGGTGGGTCGCGGGCTCTCCACCTCCACCTGGAGGGAATTCAAAAACAGCCCGCCGCAGGCGCCGAAAAGTTTGGGTGGGTCGCGGGGTGGGTCGCGGGTGGGTCGCGGGTGGGTCGCGGGTCGCGGGTGGGTCGCGGGTGGGTCGCGGGTGGGTCGCGGGGTGGGTCGCGGGTGGGTCGCGGGTGGGTCTCGCGGATGAGTCGCCGGGGGGTCGCGGGGTGGGTCGCGGGAAGGTCGCGGGGTGGGTCGCGGGTGGGTCGCGGGTGGGTCGCGGGGTGGGTCGCGGGGTGGGTCGCGGGGTGGGTCGCGGGGTGGGTCGCGGGTGGGTCGCGGGGTGGGTCGTGGGTGGGTCGCGGGGCGGGTCGCGGGTGTGACGACGGCAACAACAAACAACAGACAACAAACAACGAACAGCACACAACAAACAACAAACAACCAACAACAACCAACACACAACAAACAAACAAACAAACAAACAAACAAACAAACAAACAAACACCAACAGCAACAGCAACAGCAACAATAACAACCACAACAACAACAGCAACAACGAGAATCCGCATCGTGGAAGTCCACTTCAGCCACGCACCCAGGGACAGTGAATGACCGTTCGGTTCAGCCCCCTCACTCTGATAAATCATCATCCTCCTCATCATCATCCTCATCCTTATCCTCATCAGCATCAGCATCAGCAATACCATCAACATCAGCATCATTATTATCCTCATCATCATCATCCCCAGCATGATGATCATAATCATCATCACCATCACCATCAACATCATCATCATCCTCTTCATCTTCATGCTCATCATCATCAACAACATCATCACCATCATCACCATGACTCACCATGACCATCACCATAACCATCAGCCTCTTCCCTGTCCTCCTCCCGCGGCTCCTTTTCTTCCTCCTCCTGCTTTTCTCCTCCTCCTGCTCCTCCGCCTCCTCCTCCAGCTCCTCCTCCTACTGCTCCACTTCGGCTCCATCTCCTTCTCTCCTCCTACCCCTTCTGCCCCCATCCATCTCCCCCTCCTGCCCCTCCGCTTCGGCTCCATCTGCCCCGTCGACGATCGGGGCGCGCGCCTAACGACGGCGAGGGGGGGAGGGAGGAGAGCTGAAAGATTTTCAAAACGGAAACGTAACATATCAATCATCGCCCCGGGCGTTGCTGCGGTAGGTCTCCAGAATTTTCCAGGTTGCTCTTCATCCCGCTCCGCCTCCTCTTCCATTTCTTTTCATTGTGCATATCTTCTCCCTGCCGCACACCGAAGCCAATTTTTAGGGCGGGCCGGGCGTTTAGCCTGAGACTTCCTCACCATGTATGATTCTGAAGCTGAACAAGTGGCAACAATTTCACAGATGGAGGGCGGGTGGTTTTCAAAATGTGGTTCTCACCTTAGCGCCACGCACATTCGTTTCAAAGATTTGCATGAGCGTCACGGATTGATGGCGAGTGGTTTTCAACATGTGGTTCTCGCCCTAGCGCGGCGCACATTCGTTTTAAACATTACCAAGAGTTTCACGAATTGAAGGCGGGTCGTTTTCAACATATGGTTCTCGCCTTAGCGCCGCGCGCCTTCGTGTCAAACATTTGCAAGAGCTTCACGGATTGAGGGCGGGCCGTTTTCAAACTGTGGTTCTCGCCCTAGCGCCGCGCACATTCGTTTCAAAGAATTGCAAGAGCTTCACGGATTGAGGGCGGTTCCGTTTCAACATATGGCTCTCGCCTTTGCGGGGAGCACATTCATTTCAACAAATTACAATGGTTTCATGGTTTCACGGACTCCCATCATCAACGTACCAGAGATGGTGTTTTGGGAGGATTCAGGATTATGCGGGTGCAACAGTTACGTTGATTCTCTGCGTTGAAGTCCTAGGAATGGCGTTCTGGTGCGATTCACGGTCGTCAAGACGCGACAATCAGGTTGATCCGTGGCGCTGGGATCCCGAGAACAATGTTTTGGCATGCTTCAGGGTCTTCAAACGGGTGCCGTCCAACGAGGCAGTTCCATCAATGGCAATGAATCGTTGTAAGGGGCTTGTGAAGAGGGAACTTGGAGGGTGGGTTTACTCCAACATCGTTGATGATTAATGGGTTTACACTGGTCCTCCTCCTCCTCGTCCTCCTCCCCTTGCTCGCGTTCCTCCTCCTCCTCCTCCTCGTTCTCCTCGCCCTCATCCCCTTCCTCCTCCTCCTCCTCCTCCTTCTCCTCCTCCTCCTCCTCCTCCTCATACCTTCCTCCTCCTCCTCCTTCTCCTCCTCCTCCTCCTCCTCCTCCTCCTCATCATCCTCTTCCTCCTCGTGCCCATCTCCTTCCTCCTCCTGCTCACCCTCCTTCGCCAAACAAGATCCGGTCAAAATCGGTACCTCTGGACCCATTCCAGGGTTCATGCTGGCAGATTTGGCCCCGACCGATTTCTGACGGCCCTGGACCCGAGCGGGCCCCAGGAGGGCCAGGATTGAGGGAGGGGGGCGCGCGCGCGCGGAACGCGATCATGGTCGCGTTCAAACGAGTTTGGCCCAGGATGCACACGCTGGTCAGCTCGGCCCCGGTGGTGTTGGGGCAGAGTCGAGCGAGCAGCTCGTAGCGGATGTCCCGGTCCTCGGGGGGCAGGCCCCGCTGAGACGCCAGCGGAATCTCGTTGTCCTCCTCCTCCTCCTCCCCGCACTCACCCCTCCCCTCCCTGGTCCTCCTCCTCCTCCTTTGTCCTCCTCCTCCTTCTGCTCCTCCTCCTCCTCCTCCTCCTCCTCCTCCTCCTCCTCCTCCTCCTCCGCCTCCTCCTCCTCCTCCTCCTCCTCCTCCTCCTCCTCCTCCTCCTCCTCCTCCCCTCCTCCTCCTCCTCCTCCTCCTCTCCTCCTCCTCCTCCTCCTCCTCCTCCTCCTCCTCCTCCTCCTCCTCTCCTCCTCCTCCTCCTCCTCCTCCTCCTCCTCCTCCTCCCTCCTCCTCCTCCTCCTCCTCCTCCTCCTCCTCCTCCTCCTCCTCCTCCTCCTCCTCCTCCTCCTCCTCCTCCTCCTCCTCCTCCTCCTCCTCCTCCTCCTCCTCCTCCTCCTCCTCCCTCCTCCTCCTCCTCCTCCTCCTCCTCCTCCTCCTCCTCTCCTCCTCTTCCTCCTCCTCCTCCTCCTCCTCCTCCTCCTCCTCCTCCTCCCTCCGCCAAAAAAGCCCAGAGGCACCCGAGTGGGTCCCCACCTCAATCGATCAGGGGGACCCCTGGGCGTTGGGGTAAGGGTCCCGGGTCCCTCGCCAGCCGCCGCCTGGACACAGCCTCTGTGAGGAATGGCCTCGTGGCGTTCCTGTCAGGGCTGTCTTCTGACGATTCCCAAAACAGTGCTTGCACCCAGGGGGTCGAATCTGTTTTATGAGGAACTGGGGAGACCAGTGTGGGAGTTTCCCCTGGACACCCCCCTGGAAACCACAGAAAAAAACCCGAGTTGGGTTTTTGTTTCTGAGGTTTTCCCTCCCAGATCCCGGGAGAGGGGAAGTTTTGGGGGGTTTGGGAGGCTTCCGGGACCCGATATTTAAACACAAGACTGCTCCCAGACAAAAGCCCAAACAAACACAGAAAACAGCGGAAAAAAAACCATGGAACAAAAAACAAATCGGGCTTTTTGTTCGGAAAGGGTTCGGGGGGTTCCCAGGAGCGATCGGATTCGGGCCACCCCCCCAGGGACCCCCCCAACTCGGGGGTTCTTCATTGATTTTTTGTTGGGGGAACCTCCAAACCAAAACTCCAACTCTGGTTTTTGTCCGAAAGTTTTTCAGGGGGGGGCGGCTCCCGAGGGCGCCCACGACCCTGTCTGGTTTCCCAAGGGTGGCTTCAGGTGCATCGGGTGCCTGAGGTCTGGCGGCACTGTCCAAACCCTGAAAGATAGCCCGCGTAAGCCAGGCACTGGCCACCGTGTCTGGACGGTTGGCACTTTTGTGTTCTGCAGTGCCTGTGGCGCCTACAGTGAACACAACACCCAGAAGCTCTGTCAAGATTGCCACGGAAGCTGCCCGCTGTGGCGTGGCCGACACCCGAGCAAATGGAGCCGAGCTTCTGGGTGCGGGAAGCGGCCTAAGACCTACCCCCTTTGGCCCGTTCGCCCTCGACCGCAAATCTAAGGACCTCAAGGTCCTACCCCTGTCGGCGGATGAGGATGTTGCCTAGGCGGTGGTTTGGTCCAGGGACCGCTCCCGTTCGTTGTAGTTTTTGTGCTTTCCGACGGTGGCACTCAGTCCCCCTTCTGGCCCTCCTTCCCCCCCTCCTGGGAGGTGCCCGTCGTCCCTTGATCGCGCCCCTCGGCGCGAGGCCGTTGGCTGCTATTCACACTGCACACCCTGGCCCCACCAGCACAACAACTCCTCCTAATTCTCCTCCGCCTCCTCCTTCTCTCCATGGCCATCGTCTTCGCCTTGATCTTGAAGATGTGCGTGCGGCCATCGAGATCTGGCAGCCCGAACTCGATCTTTCTGTCCTTCCAAAGGGACGAGGACTATGACGGAAAATGATGGGGGCAGAACTGGGAAGAGGAAAAAGCATGATGAGGGCGGGGGGGGGTCGGAGGCGGAGGCGGAGGGAGAACATAGGAGAGGATAGAAAAGAGGAGGAGAAGGAGGAGGACCATCGCGTCTGACTGAAAGGGGTCTGTGCCTGGTGGCGCCTGAGTGGCGCTGGTGGCCAGGCAGATTGTTGACTGCTGCCGCCTTCGTCCAGCGCCTTCTGCGCTGCCAAGATAAACATGCGGATGGTGACGGGGTCAATCATCGAATTCGATTCGGCTCGACTTCCCTTGCTTGGGGTTTCTTCTCTCTCGTATGCAAGGCAAGGCTGCGACTTGATTGCTGCTGGGAGTTGCACTGGGGCAGGGCTTCTGGAGACCTCTGGCCATACATTCTGAAAACGCGCCGCCGTCCCAGCAAACTAGCAGACAACTCTTGGTGTGGAGCCTCGGGGGAACGTGTATGTTGTGGCCGTTGCTGTCTTGAGAGAGCTTGGGCAAGCCATGCTGTATCACTGGCGTTTCTGTGTGTCGCGTTTGGCATTGGTGGCCTGAGTTAGAACTCCTGTGCGACAGAATTTGCACATCCACTTGTCCTGAAAATACCTATACGACCACCCTTCGGGTGATAAGGAGGTTGTGGGGGGGGAGAGGGGGGGAACCAACATCTGACTCAATCGATCTAAATATCGATCTCACTCAACGGGGCACCACGGGACACCACGGGACACTTGTCGATCTCACTATCGATGTCACTATCGATATCACTCAATGGGACACCATGGGACACCACGGGCCACCACGGGACACCACGGGACACCGCGGGACACCTCGATCTCACAATCGGTCTCACTATCGATCTCACTACCGATCTCACTCAACGGGACACCATAGGACACCACGGGACACCACGGGACACCTCGGGACACCACATCGATCTCAGTATCGATCTCAGTATCGATCTCACTTTTTGGGACACCACGGGACACCACGGCACACCACGGGACACCTGTCGATCTCACTATCGATCTCACTCAACGGGACACCACGGGACACCACGGGACACCTCGGGGCACCACATCGATCTCAGTATCGATCTCAGTATCGATCTCACTCAACGGGACACCACGGGACACCTGTCGATCTCACTATCGATCTCACTATCACTCTCACTTTTTGGGACACTACGGGACACCTCGGGGCACCACATCGATCTCAGTACCGATCTCAATATCGATCTCAATATCGATCTCACTATCGATCTCACTCAACGGGACACCACAGGACACCACGGGACACCACGGGACACCACGGGACACCGTAGGACACCGCGAGCCACTGCCGGACGGACGGACGGACGGACGGGCGGGCGGGGGAGAATCATTTGTCTTGACTTCGCCCTAGCAGCGGCGGACACTACGGGACACCACGGGACACCACGGGACACCGCGGGACACCGCCAGCCACCGCCGGACGGGCGGGCGGGGGAGAATCATTTGCCTTGACTTCGCCCTGGCAACGGCGGGTTCATTCCTCTCGCGCGCCCACGCAACTTCGCCTCACCCGCACGCACGACACGAACAAAACGAAACGATTTCCCGGTTGGGGGTCTCCGTTCCACTGCGATCTCACCCCCCAACCTCCGATACCCACTGGTAAGCAAGCCTGTTTTATTGCTCGTCCTGAGGAGGGTCGCCAACCTCAGCCCCACTCAGTGGCAGCGGCTTGCCCACCTCCTCCTCCTCCTCCTCCTCCTCCTCCTCCTCCTGCAGTCCACCACTCCCACACCATGTGCTATGCTGAGTTTTGCTCGACCTGGTGGTGTACAACATGTGGCCGTCGTGCTACAGCGTCCGACGAGGGGAGTGTCAAAGGGTTCTTCGAGGTTTGTAGGGCCCCGACCAAAAACATAAGTATGTGATTTCTTGTTTTTCGAAGGGCAAGCCAGGGCCACACTAGGGGCCCCGAGCGCTCAGGTCCCCGAGAGGGCACGCGTCCCAGGCGGCGTATCTCGACATCGTCGTCGCCGAATTATCCCGAATCCTCCTCCTCCTCCTCCTCCTCCTCCTCATCGTCATCATCAAACTGTTCTTCCCAATGACCCCTGCTCTGACGAAACAATATGATTGGTCTCCCCGATGTCCAAGCGCCCCGGCCGGAGCAGAGCCGGGTCTAGTGTGTCTGGCCGGTTGGTGGCCATGAGGATCTTCACGTTGCCGCGGGCCTCGAATCCATCGAGCTGGTTGACGATCTCCAGCATCGTGCGCTGCACCTAGCCGAGACCGTGCCCTTCAAAACATATGATGTATAGCGGCAACTACGATATGAACGTTGCTGTGCACTGGACTCTAGGTTCCCTTGGAGCAGACGAGGCAACCATGATCCGGTCATCGGAGATGTATCGCATGCGATAAAAGAAGAAGGTGATAAGATCGAACTGGCAATCAGAGAAAGCTGTGCCAACAGGTAGGGGTAGCTGTGGGGCAACTGAAAAAAAAAAAAACGATAGCGCACTGTAACTGCACGGGGTGGCCGCATATCCAGTTGGTTGGTAAACTCTCAGAATCTCCTGGCTTATCTAGCAAGACTCGATACAACCGGGACACTGATGCCACGAACTCCGACATCGCCGGTCTGCAAACTGCTGCGTCGATTGCTGGCCTGCGCTCAGTCCGGGGAGCGCGCAGGCCAGGCTGGGAATCTGCCGATGTCGCGCAGTCCCCACCCGACCCTCACATGGGGTCCAGACCCCTCAGCCTCGAGGACGTCGCCCCCGTCCCCGGACTGACTACCTGCCAGACCACCCCCACACAACCCGAAATCGCCCTTGGGCCTGTCCATTTCCGAGGAGGGGGGACGTCCGGGAGCAGTGAACAAAACAATGGAACCCGCACGCCCCCCCGATCCGATTTCTTTGGGGGAGGTCGGGGCCCTTCGGGTTAGGTTCGAGTAGCTTGGTAAGTATGCGCGGCGGACACAACTCGCTCCACGCACCCCAGACTCCTCCCATTGAGTCTGCCTGCCAGGCTGACATCGGCCAAGAAGAGGCGTACGAAGCCATGGGGACCCTATGAGATAGCAGCGCGGCGTCGGCAAGGTGGCCACGAGGCAGCGCCAGGGGAGGAGCAGATGAGGCAGCCGCGACCAGCTACCCCGTCACGTGAGCCTGAGCCCGGGGCAATAGTCTCGGACCACCGCCCCGCCCTCGCGGAGCCCGGGAAGAACCGACTCCAGTCGAGCACTACGCGACCCCTTCTGCAGGCATCGGGGGAGGATGGGGTACAGCAAGCTCACGTCGCGAGGACGTCGCCGTCGGTTTCCGCCATCGCGTGCTCAACCACGAACAGTCGTCACTTTGCGATAGCGCAAACCGTTCGTTGTTCGATATCGGCCGTTTCCAAGAGACTGGGGAAGCTCAATCTTGAACGCCCGCGCTGGGATAGACGCTGCATCAACGCGCAACCTGCTGCAGAAAGGGGATGCGGAGGAGAGAGAGAGAGAGAGAGAGAGAGAGAGAGAGAGAGAGCGTATCAGAAATTATCCAGGCGAAGGAACCAAGCATATGCAATCGTGAGAGCAGCGTTGTGGGTACCGCGTTCGGTGGAGCTTCCGAGGGGCCACGAAGCGCGTGAGGAGTGTGCCGTAATGGGCGGGGGGAGCGCATGCGACCGCGGCCAATTGGGTCTTCGGTAGAGGCCCCGTACGGGGCCACGAAGCGCATTTCTGGGTGAGAGGGGAGGCATGCGAACTGCGCCACTGGGGCCTTCGGTGGAGTCCCCATACGGGGCCACGAAGCGCTGTACTGGGTGGGAGGGACGCATGCGGTCGCGGCCGCTGAAGACTTCGGTGGAGCTCCCTATGGGGCCTCGAAGCGCTGCATTGGGTGGGGGAGACGCATGCGGCCGCGGCCACTGGGGCCTTCGGTGGAGCTCCCTACGGGGCCACGACGCGCTGTACTGGGGGGGGAACGTAGTACTGGGGGGGGGCGTATGCGGCCGCGGGGGGGCGCATGCGGCCGCGGCCTCTAGGGCATGCGCTGGACTTCCCCGTGAGGCCACGAAGCGCTGCATTGGGTGGCGCGGACTCATGCGGACGCGGCCACTGGGGCCTTCGGTGGAGCTCCCTATGGGGTCACGAAGCGCTGCACTGGGGGGGGGACGCGTTCGCATGCGAACTGCGCCACTGGGGCCTTCGGTGGAGCTCCCTGTGGGGCCACGAAGCGCTGTACTGGGTGGGGAGGGGCCGCATACGAGCTGCGCACAGGAAGCACTCAGTGGAGCTCCCTATGGGGCCACGAAGCGCTAAACTGGGCGGGGAGGACACATGCGAATTGCGACACTGGAGCCTTCGATGGAAACCCCTTATGCGGCCTCGTCCACAGGACGGTTTGGAACAAATCGCCCAGCTGAGGACAGGATCGCATGAGCCTGTTCAGATTTTGTGCTCCGCTGCGCCTCGCTGTCGCTGTTCCCTTCGTCGCCGCCACGGGAGCCGCCGATTGCGTCGACCTCGTCGATGAATAATATGCACGCCTTCTTGGTACGCGCGAGCTGGAACAACTCTCGGACCATCCTCGCACCTTTCGGGGGACGCCGACTGACCACTTGCGGGCCCTGGATCGGCCTGGCCAGGATCGGTGAGGTGGCCACCTGACGTCCCCCGAGCCTTCGCCCACGTAGCGCTGGACCAGCTCCGAACCGATGACACAGATGAAGCACGCGTCTGTCCGATTGGCCACCGCACGCGCTGTCAGTGTCTTGCCTGTGCCAGGGGGGCCGTAGAGCAGGACGCCCTTCGGAGGATCGATGCCCAGAGCGACGAAGCGCTCCGGCTGAAGCAGAGGCATCTCGATGACCTCGCGGAGCCTCTCTAATTGCTCCTTCGCGCCACCGACGTCGTTGTACGTAACGTCTGGCTTCTCCTCTACGGTCATCATGGTCACGGACGGGTCGATCTTCGGCGGCAGCGGGATCTGAATGCGGTACTTGCCTCCGTGTGACGTGTCCACTCCGACCCGCATGCCCTCGTCGATGTCTGTTGCGGACACCTTCTCTCCGAGGCCCACGACGAACTTTGCGAATTCACGGATTTTGATGATGTACTTTGTGTCGTCCGTGCCAGGGTCAATGATCTTCGTGCACCTCGCCACCTGGAGCGGCTGCTCCTGTTTCATCATCTGCTTGTCGCCCTCCAGATCCCACTGACTCGGGGGGGCGAGGCCAGTGTCCGACTCCTTGACCCCGATGAGCTTATTGATCTTTCCAATGTAATCCTTGTTCTCTTTCTCCACCCTCTGGAGTGGCCGCACGTAGGGCCCGACGCCGTAGGTGCGCATGATGTCGACATCGTCCTCGTCGAGCTGCTCCGGCTCCTTCTCGTCGTCATCTACATCTTCGCGAGCCTTCCCGTGCGCCATAGTTTTGTCTAACGAATCCATGGCTGCGGGCTGTGATCCCGGATCGAGCGGCAGATTCTCAGGTTTGCCTCGCACGGCTTCCTCTCAGGCCTCCACGCACCGCATCACGTGCAGCCTCCCGCCCCATGGAGCAGAGGGCGGGCAGGAAACATGTCAGAAATGTTGCATCAACGCCCCCCTGTTTAGCGAGTGCGTCCACGACAAGACGATGGACGAGATACCATCGGCCAATCGCGCTCTAATCCCACTGCTCTTGGCGCAGGTCATTTAGCGGACCAGCTCTTTCGAGACAACACCATACTCCCCTCCGAGGAGGAGTTTGTCACTTCGGGGGCTGCGTATGTGTTCAGGGGGCGTGGGGGACTGAGTGAGACAGATAGATAGTTGTGTTTTCTCCCTGGAGCTTATGTAGGGGTTCGCTGAGGTTCTTCCACTTCACTTATCATGGCAACTCGCCTGGGAATATGTTCTAGACTAGCGGGGTGGGCACGCGAAATGCCACCAATTCCAAGAACCTCCAACACTTCTCATATGACACTGCCCCAGGCCCGACGACAGCTGAAATGGGCCAGCCACAATCATGCAGAAACCAACAAGGGTGGTGCCCTCGCTGGCTTCTGGAGCACTCACCAGGTACAATCATAAACGAACGGGCTTACTCAAACAGCGACAAAAATCAAGGGACCACTCAACGCCAATCCGTCGCCCCTCCTCGCCCCCCCCACCCCCACCCACGACGGAACATGGCCACTCGTGCCCATCATCCCCGTCGTCCTCATCATAACTCCCTGTTCCTCCCTCGCCCACTCGTCCCCGCCCCCCCGCCCCGCTCTTCCTCCTCCTCCTCCTCCTCCTCCTCGTCCTCCTCGTCCTCCTCGTCCTCCTCGTCCTCCTCGTCCTCCTCGTCCTCGTCCTCGTCCTCGTCCTCGTCCTCCTCCTCCTCCTCCTCCTCCTCCTCCCCCTCCTGCTCCTGCTCCTCCTCCTCCTCCTCCTCCTCCCAGCCTCAAGCCCCTGACGTTTCACTTGGAGCCTGAAGCCCGAAACAAGCATAAGCATCTGGGGGCCCAAGTCCGGAGAATGCGGCCACCCGGGTCGTTTTCAGAACAACTGATGCTGCTGCGGGCAATCCCTACCAGGGACCCGTTGCGAATGGTTCGAAGTCAGTCGCGTGCGACTCTACAACGCGAGATGTTACATAATTGAATACACACGTTTGTAGCTCATGTTTTGTATGATTCGTAAGCGCCAATATTGTGCCAGGTGATGCTGGTGCAGGCGTTACGCATGTTTGCTATTATGCGCACTATGTACCCATGTCGTTTATGTACGCTTGTGGTTCGAATGTGACTGTTCGTGATGCCGTATGCGTGTGCGTGCATGTCTCGAATGCGTGCAATTCGAGAAATTTCCTGGTGGCTGAAAAAGATGCGTGTTCTGATGGATGCGACAAAACACCTCTTCGTGGCGTATGGTGCCGGCGTATGGTCTTGAAATCTGGCGCCGAGCGCATTGCTGCACAGACGTGGTTCATGTACTGGTGTGCGTTGCCGATGTGGGTCCGATGGTTGTTCTCGGCGTGTTGTCTGTGTCCGTGTGGTGAGTACGAAGTATGGCTGGTGACTGGTATTGCTGTGAATGGCTGTTGGCTGGCGTATATGTCTGGCGGAAGAAATGCTGATGATGCCTGTTCTTGACGTGTATGTCTGATAAATGTATTGCTGTCTGGTCTTGTTGCCTGTTCAACACATGCATTCCCCCTCTTCCCTGTGAGTGGTACTGGTTTCGTTATTAAGCTGCTGACTCATGATGGCGTGTATGTATGACCATAGCGTGTGTGCATGATGTCTGTGACTGGTCTATGCTTTTGGTGCCCGGGTGTGGGGCATGTGCTTGACTTGTGACCGCGGTGTCTGCAATTACGTATGCATGTGGTGTTTGCTCTCGGCGTTCTTTTAGGTACACAAATCTGAAGTGTGAAGCGTGATGCCAGTCTTCTTTACATAAGCGTTGGATTCTGCATGCCATTGGTGTACTGTGCTGGCGAATGTCCCCGAAGTGTGCACGTACCACGTTTTGAATGTATGCAATTGGTGCCTGTGGCCCATGTAGGTAACAGGCGTCTGCTGTTCATGCATGTTGCTGAACTAAATTATTTGGCGTACGGTAGTGGTACACTTGCATGGTGTCTCTTTTCAGAGCCGTTGGGTTGACGTGTGTGAGCATTATTGGTGTATATTGTATGTTCTGCGTGTGATGCATGCGTCTCTAGACTTTCCGCTTGCTGTTCGTGTACGGTCTGGACGTATGTTTTGCTGCTGATACATAATGTTGTATGGTCTTAGCGGGTGTTGCCGGTGCGTGTGGCTGATGTACGGTACTGGTGTATGTTGTAGGTGTGCGGCTTCGGCGTGTGTTAGTGATGCCTTTTATTGGTTCGGATACCGCGTGTAATGCCACCTGGTGGATGAGTAACAAAAACAAGCGGGGTGTGATATTCAAAACATGTTTCCTCTGCTCGGGCGAATGGCGGATGGGACTTCCACCAAATGGACACATACGGCGGCACCGCTGTTGGTTTAGCGCCGACACCCGGCCGACAACATGAGGGCGACAGGCGCGACGCAAGCGGCGCCGCTTCAGCGGCGGGGGGAGCAACGCCTCCGCTATAGCGGGGCGCTTGGGCCAAAACAGATACAAACACGAAACAAAAACGGGGAAAAGAGGCGCCTCAACTGGCGGGCAGTGCCGGCATGGCTACAAAGAGAAAAAGGAACAGGGGAGAGGAACGGCAGAGGCAGGCGGAAAAGGGCTCCTCCGTTTCCTTTCCACCCCCCCTCTCCACTACAATATGTCTTGCGACAACGACGACGGCAACGACGACGACGACGACGGCGACGGCAACAGCGGACGACGACGCAGTGCGGGTGCTCCATGGGTGGGTGGGGGGGCGGAGGCGTTACGCATGCCACTTGTAATCGACGACGACGACGACGACGGCAACAACAACGACAACGACGACGACGACGACGACGGACAACGACACACTGCGGATGCCCTAGAGGGGTGTGCTGGTCTGCGAATCCCGCTGCAGTCGACGACGATGACGAGGACGACAACGACGTCGACGACGACAACGACGACGAACAATGACAACGACGAGAACAACGACGACGAACGATGACAAAGGCAACGACGACGGACGACGACGACGCACTGCGGATGCTCCATGGAGGGGGGAGGGCTGCGTAGGCACACTGTAGTTTTGTAGTCGACGGCGATGACGACGACGACGACGACGACGACGGCGACGACGACGACGACAATAATGACGACGACGACGATGCACTGCGGATGCCCCATCGAAGGGGGGCGGGTGCGGCGCAAGCCAGGTGCAGTCGACAACGACGACGACGACGGCGACGACGGCGACGATGACGGCGACGATGACGACGACGACGCGATGACGACGGCGATGGCGACCCGACGGCGGACGGCGGACGGCGACAACAATGACGACGACGACGACACGACGACGACGACGCGACGACGACGACGACAACAACGACAACGACGACGCAGTGCAAATGCCCCACGGGCGGGGGCTGCGCAGGCCCGCTGTAGTCGACGACGACGACGACGTCGACGACTAAGACAACGACGAACGATGACGACGACGATGCGGCGACGACAAAGGCAACGACGACGGACGACGACGACGCACTGCGGATGCTCCATGGTGCGGGGGGGCTGCGTAGGCGCACTGTAGTGCTGTAGTCGACGGCGATGACGACGACGATAGCAATGAACGCAACAACGATGCACCGCGGATGTCCGATTGAGGGAGGGGGAACGGGTGCGGCGCAGGCCGGCTGCAGTCGACGACGACGACGACGACGACGACGACGACAACGCGATGACGACGGCGATGGCGACGGCGACGGCGGATGACGACGACGACGACAACGACGACGCGACGACGACGACGACAACGACGACAACGACGACCAAGTGCACATGCCCTAGGGGGGTGGTGCTGCGCAGGCCCGCTGTAGCCGACGCCGACGACGACCACGACGACGACGACGACAACGACGACTGTGGCACGTCGGTAATCAGCCTGAGAGGGGGGAAAACTTGGCCTCGGACGTATATGTTCCTTTCACAGCTTCTATAAGAAAAGCAATCGTTGTAAAGCTGCCGTGCCGGGGGATTCACGATCCTCTCGGTGGCGCCCGCGACAACCCCCTGGCGCGCGTTAAAAACGACAATGTGTCGCGTCGCGTGGGGTCCATTCATCAGTTCCAGGGTAGGGGGCGCATTATTTGTTAATCACAAGTTGGCATTATGTACTGCGTGTCTGCTGTGGGCGTGCGGTGCTGCTGTCATATGGATATGTGATGGTGCTGCAGGTTCGTGGTGTATGTACTGGGTGCGTGAAATCATGATGATGGCGCATGTGCTGTAATAAGGTGTGAAGCAAACAAGGGTGCATGACAACAGCGAATGTGATTGACGCGTATGTTATTTGGGTGTATGTGCTTGATGTATGCCATGGGTGTGTGCTCGTGGTGTGTTTTTGAAGTATTGGTACACTTGCTGGCAGATGATCGTCACTGGTATCCTGGATTGGCTGTAGTGCTGCTGGCGTGTGTCCTTGGCGGATGAGCGTGATGCCTGTTCTTGGTGTATGCCGGTGTCTCTTGTTGATTTTACTGCTTGAACATGGTTAGGATGTCTGCCCTGGAGCACGTTCGTGCCATCTTGGAAATATTTGGCTTACTCACACAAATTACTACTGTTTTGTTGATGCATATATATATATGGTGCATGGTGTATTAAACTGCTGTATGCTCTCGGTGCGCGCTCTCGGTACGGTCCATGCTGTACGTATATGTTGTGACTTGTGGCTGAATTATGTATATTGGCGTATGCTGTAGATGTCTGTTGCAAATGAAAGCGCTGTTTGGTGAATTGATATATCTATATATATATATATACGTTCGTAGGTCCGCATGGCTGTATTGGACTGGCGCTGGTCCCGTGCGGTTTCGCTGAACCGAAGAAGCCGCGAGGATCTCCGAAAGTTTGTATGCTCATGCGGTGGTGTCCTTACCCTGATCGTTTCACGACGCTGGGGGCCATGGGAACGCCGCTTGGCAGCCCTGGGCGTCCGCTGAAAAAGAAAAGGACGGCGGGGCTGCGGGCCGGGACCGCGCCGACGCCCCGGCGACACCGAGGGGCTCCTCTGCGCGAGACCCGCGGCGAGAGCTCGCGAGCCGGCGCAGCTACGGGGAGCGAGAGGAGAACAAGAGGGAGGTAGGAGGGCGCGGAGGACCGGCATGGAAGGAGGGCTCCGGAGCAAGGTGCAAACTGCACGGCAGACGGGCAGAGGGCGGAAGGCAGGGAGGGAGGGCAGGAGGAGGAACAGCAGCAGAGGAGAAGGAGGAAGAGGAGGAGGAGGAGGAGGAGGCCCACCTGAAAGACCATCAGAAGGACCCTTAGAAGGACCATCAGGAGGGGGGAGGGCCAGAACGACGAGAAACGGCGAGGAGCAGGAAGAAGGGAGGAGGGGGGGGGGCGGGAAGGCCCGAGAGGGGCCAGGAGCAGGACGATCGGGGGGGTTCGGGGGGGACAGAGGAACGCCACCGGGTCCGCTCTCCCTCCCGGCCCTCGCCCTCCCTCCCTCCGTCCCGCTGCCCTGTGGGCAGCGCTGCGTTCGGTGGCACGCCCAGGGGGGGAAGGCAGAGGGGGGCGGGCCTTCTCAGACGTCTCGGAAGGCCGCCAGTCTTCTGAGAATCTTTCCAGGCCGTCTCCGAAGGCCCGCCGCCTTCTGAGAAAGCGTGCCCCCTATGACTTCCACCCTCGGCGCGCCGCCGATCCTTGCCGCGCCACCACACTTGCCAATAGGGCGGGCCAGGCGTTTCGACCTAGGCTGCCCCACTTATTGCGGAACCGAGGGTTGCACTTTCAATCAGGTGCACGGGTTCATGGTGGCACGTTTTCAACATGATGCTTGCGCCTTAGCGCCACGAACATTCAATCATTGAATGTTCGTGGCGCTAAGGCGGTCTCGCATCATGTTGAAGCATTTACGGGGGTGGGCTTCACACGGTGTTCGACATGCCGCTCTCGAGCAAGCACCGCGAGCACTCGCCATTACGTGGCGCATCGAATTTTCATGGATGGAGGGTTGTCCGATTCGAAATGTGTGTTATTGTGCGTTGGAGCCTCGTACGGACATCTGTGACCATACTGGAGGGCGGCTCCATGTTCAAAATAGCCCTCTCGCTGCAATGCTCCTCATATGTCGACGGATAGCAGTCCATTTGCACACGAAATTTAGCTGGCCTTCCCAACGTACTCTGTGCAAAACATCGGAGCAGGAAACACACTTCGTCCTGCTTGACACCGCCTTGGCAGTTCCCACACGTGCAAAGAAAAGGTCGGGAAGTTTTGCTTAACGTGTCGCGGCGGCGGCCCTGGCGACACGCCATGCCCTGCGAGCGGATAGCGTGTCGCTCCTCTCCGCGGGGCGGGAGGCTGGGAAAAGTTCGGGGCCTTGACGCTCGGGGACTGGGACGTGGACGCGCTCCAAAGCGTGGGGGGCTAGGACCGGCGGAGTGACACGCTAAGCCACTGTTCCTGACCGTAGATCGCAATCCCGAATCAAACATTCCACCCCGCCAAGGAACACGAAACATGATAGGTCATGGGTTGCGCCAGATGTTGCCCATCGCCCCCCCCAAAAATACAAACGCTGCGCCAGACACTGAGCACGGTTTCCCTGCCCATTCCGCCTGCGTGCCAGAGGTCGCACCATAAATAAGTTGCGCCAGACAGCCAGCGCCCTGTCGAATCAGGCTTTCCCGCTTTTATTTACCTGCCGTCGGTTGTAACATGCGTTGCCAAATAGGCTGCGCCAGACCGAACGAATCGAGATGTCCGCAGATCCGAGCATCTGCAAGTTGCGAAGTCAGCAATTTGCCCAGTAATGCCCGATTGGGGGCGATTCGTATTTGTAGGCATATGTTTATTGTGATTTTGTTGTTCATATTGTCCTCGTATGTCGTGTGTGACTGGTATCATCTTGAACCTCGGGTTGGGCACCTCCGTGAAGCAATCCTATTGTACGTGTCTAGCGGGCCGGCCGGCCGAGGGAAGGGAGGCCGGGCGCGCGCGGGCCTTTTTCACCTCACAGCTGAAACAGCTGCGCAAAGTAAGTGTGTGTGTGTCATATCTTGCGCCGCCGGCCCTCTGTTGGAGGGAATGTGGCGGCGTGGAAAAAAAGACGAAGGGAGCGTAGCTAATGACCCCCCCCCCGCGGTCGTCAGCGCACAAGATCTCTGTGCGCAGACGGACGTTAACACATTGGCCAACGATCCGCGTCCTGGGCAGGCTGCCCGGGGCGCAAAAGGCTGATAATGCGGCGGGGCGCGCGGACCCGCCTTCGGCACGGCTCAAGGTTGCCAGCCGTCGCGCCATGCCATGGCGAATTAACCCCCAAAATGCCAACGGCAAAAACGTTTTCCGGCACGCGAGGTAGGGATAGCACATACTAATGGCAGAGCCCATAACACAAACCAGCGCGGACCAATTATCCCACGGTTACCGCCCGCACTCTCGCGCCCCCCAGCACATATTGGCGAGTCGCCCTTCCTCACTTCCACGACGCTCATCACATAGTGACGAATCGCCCTCCCTCAGCGCCAGGAGTCGCGCCCACGATCGCCACAGCCCCAGCGGCCGGCCCAGTCGCGCCATTCAGACCAGCTGCCACAACCCCACAACGAGTCGTTCCACGATGACCACGGCACATCCTCCTCCTGGCCCGACGGGGCTTTTCGTCATTGGCCACATGCCTCACGTCCTGCGTCGAGGGGCGCCAGGGCTGCGGAGCGGAGGGGGCCGCCGTTGACGATGCCCGATCACGCCCGATCGCGGGCATGCAACTCCCACAGCGTCGGCGGACGATGGCGGCGACGCACTAGCGGAGGACGATCGCGAGGCTCCTGGCTGTCTCGCCTCTTCAGCTGCGAATCCCGCTCGCCGCCATTGCCAGCAGCAACAGGCGGGATACCGCGACCAGATTCTATGAACTGCCCTTCCCAGCCGAGGTCACCCGAGCAGGGCGTGCCGAAGGCTGGCTGGATCGGGGGCGCTTGCCACCCGTCCGACCGCGCTGCCCATCGGACCAAAACGCAGCGTCCGGAACAGAATTCCGAGTCGCAGGTGGGCCCCGCGAGCTGTGCCTTGGACCCATCGGGCTCAGATAAGGCACGTCTGACTTTGACCACATTTCGAGCGCGATCAACGCCGCGTCGACGACGTACTCTGGGAAGCGTTGTGTCCCCATATGCCGGAAGGCAAAACAAACGGTCGGGCGTCACAAAATACATCCTGGTGCCAGTGAGATGTACGCCTGCACGTTGCTGAAGATACTGGAGACAGTCTTCGATCCTCGCGAAGTTGACTTCCACTAATTTCTTGATGTCGTCAGCCATGTCCGCGACGCACTCGTGAATCATGGTGGCGGTCTTTCTGTGAGCACGCAATCTTCAGCTGCTCCTTTGTCGTTTACGTAGTTTAGCCACACTGGATGGTTTTCATCGAAGTCTCCCACGCTGCGCGGCCACGAGTAGTCCTTCGCCTTCTGGCTCGCCACACGATGCGTCTTCATAGTCCACTATCAAAAATGTAGCACAAACGTGGGATCATAGTCGGCAACGGCAGGTGGGTCCGCCCAACGCTTGTTCAGCTTGGCTAGAACATCCAACGAAGATTGCTTGGAACCGAAATCTGGTTCATGGTACTTCTGACTGAACCGAATCGCAGATTGGATCATGGCGTGAACCTGCTCGGTAAAGTCGACGCCTCCCCTAACCGCCTTGACGCGGTCAGCACGAAGCAACGTGCCCGATCCTGAGGGCGTAGCCCTGGTCCGTACGAGCGGACCCGAGCGCCTCGGGCACTGCAGCTACCCTATACACTGCGGGTCTCTTCTGTCCTCTTGCTTCCTCCGCCACAGGCGGTCTCTCCACGGGCTGCCAGCGTTCCTCGATCTCTTCATACATGGCTGCAGGAGGACCAACGGAAGAATGCTGCCCACGTCTCTAGCTTTGACCCGTTCTTGCTACCCAGCGGATGGCATATCTTTCTCGCGATCCCCGTGGCATTCAAGATCCCGCGCGACGGCTTCCAGGACAGAGTAATCTCTTCGGCCGCCGTCGATTTTGATCCTCCGAGTGAAGTAAGGCCACCAGACTTCCACCCGCGCGATCGGATTCTTTCCCATCGCCTGCGCACCCATGATGGCTTGGAGCTTGATCCACCGCTGTGCGAGCTTTTTGGCCATAGCGAGCTTGGTCGGGTCGCGCTGCGGCGGGCACAGGTCATTGGCCGACTTAGGGAGCCAGGCGGTTGACCTCCAACGCGAGCCTCCGCCTGAAAGCGGCGCTGTCCCGATTCCTGCTGCCACTCTTGAGTCGTCTTGTTGACAGTCGCGTCCGTCCTTCGTCCGACTTGGCTTTGTCTTGGAGCCTTCTGTCCGGAGGCAGTAACGTAGTTGCTGGACCCCGGGGCGGACTTTCCATTTGGGATCTTCCTCAGTCCGAGTTCCCGCCAATCTTGGACCGGCATGGCACCGCCCGACGGGGCGACCCTGGCACCATAGGTGACCTTCAGTCGGCAGTGGAAGCAGGATACTATGCCCAATCTGTTGTGGCACCCAGCACTGCAAACCAAAAAGCCGTCGTGCCTCCATGGATGAGGAAAAATCATCTTGTTTTTGAACTCCGTCGTCGAACGCCTATCTTCCTCATCATCTGCCGTTCCTCATCATGCTTCGCCCCATCGAATTGCGATTTGCCCACTCTGTCTATCTTGCACATGTTGCACCATAGGTTGCTCCAGACACATGCGTGCCCCATCGAACTGCGATTTCCCAACCCTGCCTAACTATCATAGGGTGTCCCACGGGCTGCGCAAGACACCCCGCGCACCACCGGGATGCGATTGCCCCGCTGCGTCTACCTTCCTTAGTTGCACTGGAAGCCATGGGCCCATCCGAATTACGATTTGCCACTCTGCATGCCTTCCAAAGGTTGTGCTAAGGCGGTCGTCTTTCAAGGGGGCGCGCCTGGTAACAAAAACAGCATACTCGCGAGGACCTGCCTGGGAATGGGTCTGAGGACTACTGCAACATCGTTGATGCCTTCTTTGTTTGCCCTGGTTATTCTTCTCCTCCTCGTCCTCCTCCTACCCCCGACAATGCCTCTCCCGCTGTTGCCG